ACGCTATTAAAAGTGTTCATGCATATGTACGTATAATTTGAATTAAGCCACTGCAAACTGTGAAATTGCCAACACAGTTATATTATTATGATTTTTTGAAAACAAGATGGTTTTAGAAATTCAAAATCTTTAAGCATATTACATAAAAATGTTCTCGAGTCATTAATACTCATAACTGACGGAAATTTTTACATAATATTAAATTTATATTCATGGTGCATGCTGAAATAGTATATCGTGTACATTCAAAAATCACAAACTGTAGGAAGATTATTACTCGTATCCTATTATTTATGTTATAAGCCAGAGCTTAATTACAATCCCACATGGTAATGAAGGTAAATCAAAATACCTCAACGTAACAAAAGCCTATTTCACTATTGCCTTGAAGACACCCAGATTTTAATCGGACGGAGATACAGATGCCGGCAAATAATTCTACTTTGCTGTACGCATTACAAAAGAAAAAGCAAATCGTTTGATTCAGACGCGTTTTTACCTATGGAGGAAAATGGAGGCAGATATTAAGGCATGTAATTCCTGCACACACTCACCTATTTATAAGCTAAACCTATCTATCGTTTAATTCTATGCAAATTACCTAGTGACAACCACAACCACTATTAGCGAAAAAAAATCCGACATAGCAATATGTAATATACACTCGGGGCGAACAGCACCGCTATTAAATAGATCCCAGAGGAGAGTTCGCGTCAAATTGATTGCACTGAGCTTTGTCACCGACCACCGAGCTGTAACTATTAACTTGACATGAGTATATGTTTACCAAAGGATATATTGAAGGTAATTTCAACGAGGTTGGAGAGAGGGATACTATAGCAACGACAACCCAAGCTTAATAAATCATGAAGGTGGTATTGTTGGTATTGTCTTGGACACTAGTATTCAACAAAATACTGTATGACCGGTTTTGGGTGCAATCACTAATATTAATCGAAAGTGCAATGAGATTGTTCCTGTATCTATGAGATATATGTGTTCCGCATGGTTGCGGCACAAGAGAATCTGCCATCCCATTTTCTGCCGACTTCCAAAAAGGAGACGGTGCTCAATTCGACTGTATGTTTCTTTATGTGTGTTACTTCATAACTTTTTACTGGGTGAATCGATTTCGATGATTCTTGATGATTTTTTATTTGAAAACTGGTACTTCTTTTGTGGTCCCATATGAATTTGATCAAGGTCAGACCAATAGTTTTTGAGTTATTCTTAATAACTTATATTGAAGTCGGCTGTACAAAATGTTTTATTTTAAATGGTATCATATTGTGTAGTAAAAGGCGACTAAGGAAAATGGTCGAAAAACCTTGTGGCCTCCGTTAAATGGCGGTATCACCCATCTCTCGCCAGCCGTATACATATTATATCGGCGACGCGACGGGGACGCATAATTAAAGGTGCAATACGTCCTGGTTTTGTTGTCGCTAATCCGTGAGCGAAGCGTGACGATTAAGACAAATATACTCTATGGAAGAGTACTCGTGTTGATGAAGAAAAAAAGGAAGAAATTCAGTACCAAAAACAGAGTTGTAACAGGCACAAATAGGCTAAAGACTTAATCATCACGATATCTGAATAAAGAATACAATCGTTTTTAAGCAAATGAATAGTTGAATAGTTAATGAGTTACTCAATAGTATATAAGGAATCACTGATGCATGTATGTAAAGATAATACTGTATATAAAAAATGAATGAAAAACTTTAATGCATGATATTTTGAAGGCTTAGAACTACTGAAATTAATCTTGAAATGAATTAGGTGTTTCAAATTAAACAGATTCAATGAAAAAGTAAAAAGTAATGTAAAGTTACAGTCTGCATACGTGCCACAGTTGAGCTTTAGTTGCAATTAACGATTTCATTGGTACCGCCAGTGATCGAATCTGGGTTACTTATGTATTGTGAAATTTGTAGCAAATGTTCCGTTGCTGAGCTACTACGTCTCTAGGATTCAAAAAAGAATTAAACAAAATTTTTCATAAATGTAAACTTAAAAGCATCCCATGTCCCATGTACCTATTTCATTCATTGGATCGAGATATCGCTAAACTGATTTCGGAGACAATCGCCATTTTTTTTACACTAATATTTTTGATTTTAACTCAATGTGCTCTTCCAATAAAGAAGATTCATATGTTACTTATACAGTCATTTTACTAGCAGTGTTTCGTATATGCGACGCTGATATAAGGCATCAAATGTTAGGTACATACATATAAAGTTAAAATAGTAAGGAGTCGTAAATATTACAATGAAGAACTTAAATATCTATGTCAAATAAAGTAGCGGGAGAAGATAAAATATCTGTGGTAAATATTTTACCATTGAGCACTGTATTTCTTCTATATCCGTCAAGTAACAGAATACGAAATTACATGCGAAGTCCGCCAACACGTATTGGCAGGGAGGATTTTTCGCACTTTTAAGGCTAATCCCTGTTAAATTCCTGTGTAAACAAAATGGTTATACTGCCATAATATATCGGAGGCAGACCTTCCTGACACTTCCCATATCCGCAGTATAAATGAGTAGAAGAAATGAAAAAAAAAAAACATTGTAAAATTAGGCAAAAACCATGATTCAAAATTAATCGGATATTAATAAATCAATCGGGTAACTTGGCTCGGGAACGGCACGGGCGTGTTTTGAATCCCGTAAATCGGTCGGTACGATTGCGTTAGGAGTTCGCATTGATTGTATGTTGTGATGCACGCCCGGGAAAGATTAATGGGGACTCGGGAGTCTAATTGGAAGCGCGTTGTACCGTAAATAGGGTAGCTTAGGTATGAAACGGGTAATAACCAAAGGAGGTAATACTTATATACACGTTATAAAAAGCAATGCATACTTAATTATTATCATAAAGTTTATTTTATCAATTTCAAACTTATGATAGTAATGTTCTCTAGATCAGGGATTCCCAAACTTTTAAGGTAATGGAACATTCACCAAATCCTGTTTATTTTATGGAACCCCACATCAAATGATTTAATATCATAGACATTGCAATTGAAATATAATATAATTCTCGCTGACTACCTACTTACCTACATAACAGTTATGGGTTCTTCTCATCACATAGTTTGAGCTATTGCAAAATAATTTTTGTACTTAAGTATGAAAATATTTAACAAGCAAAAATTATTAATTTTGCGGAACCCTGGTGACTTCACGGAACCAGTTTAGGAACCTCTGCTCTAATGTCTACCACGGCGTCAACTTCAAACTACTGAAGGAAGCTATTACCTGCTTAGAAAATATAATTAATATAGTTTAGAAAATATAGAAATATTTTTTTTTATATAAACTAGTATTTATTACCAGTAAAAAATATGGAAGATAACTAAATTTTCAAAAAAAAATTTTGATTTTTTTATTAACAGCTTCTCCCATAGACGGTCCTTATTAAAATATAATAGTTTCGTCTAATTTTTCACACATTTAAAAAAAAACGTAAAGCTTCTGTATTCGATGCGTATGATTTCTTATGTATGTTCACCGATATTTCAGAGACGGCAGATAATATACTTCCGGGGTGGTCTAAGTGCGGAAAATGGGATGAAAGATTTTAACGTAATTATTTAGACGACATTCTTGTTGCTACCTATTAAGGTCGGTTTGTATATTTGATTAAAAGTTAAATTATTATCATTATTATATAGTATTCTAAACCATAATATAGTAGGAAACTTTATAATATAGTAAGGTTTGCAAGGTTAGAGTGGAGAGAATTTAGGGTTACGTGATGTGTACCTTCGAGACCGACATACATTTTAAACGTCTGATACTTAGATCATTAAAATACAAAATACGAGAGCGTGTTGTGTAATACACTTGCTTCACGCTCTGTACTGCTGTGCGCTCTTTATTAATCTTCTACGCCTAATCCCTTTTTAAATGCACACGATCAAATTAGTAGTAATACTGCTAGTGGTAGTAGTTAATTTGAAAGCTTTTATGTGACACGGTCAGGTTGAAAAATATTAGGTACACATAATATAGGACACAAGTATTATCTAAGTTCCACTGAATAAAAAATCGCTATCGCACACGACAAAATGATAAAGTCGATCTAAGCAAAAGTCTTCTGATATTCCCTGGGCTACTAAATGGATTAGTGCACGTAGCTTGGGTCAGGGTGGGTACGTGACCTGCATATAGAATTCCTACCTAGATTAGTATAGAATTACTTATTGTACCAAGTAAATAGTTTTTGTCGAGATACACGAAACAAAATAACAGGAAAACGTGGAACGATCTTGAACAAAATTGTAAATAAAAAATCTAAATTCTAAATATTAACGTGATTAACGTTTTTGCAGCAAAGTGACTTAACGCAAAAAATATTATACAAAAACTATAGCTATTATTGGTTAGTAAAAATAATTAGCTTAACGGTTTTCGAATATGTGACGTGGACAATGCGTTCGTCGCCTATCGCACTTTTATAAAAGAAAATATAGTCTACGGCCGCATGGACTATGAAGTCGCATCCATGGAATACTTTCAGAGTAATAACATACATATCGAGATTACTCTCTAGTCGCATCCGATTACAATTAACAAAGTGGCGTCACAAAATGCTTTTAATATAAATTTTAATCTGAAAGTACAAAATATATACATATTTATATAATGATCTTAGTCGGGAGTACATTACAAAGCATTTAATAGAAAAAAGGTAAGGTAGGTAAAAAAGAACAAAAAGTAAGTTGAAAAAGTTGTTTGTCTTTTGCAAAAATAAAAAAAACATTTTCTTTATTTGTTACAGACAATAGAGTCCAATTTGTAGACCGCATAAAGAGAAAATGATCGTAGTCTAGTTCTATTTTAGTTGAATCTTGTGCGTAAGCGAGCTTGATAGAGTAGTATAGATTATGATTGGGGGTCGCGTAGATAAAATTTTAATTCCAGTTCCATTGCTAATACCGTAAAAAATTCTTAATATTAAAGTGTTAGAATAAAAAAATTACGTACCACGAGTGCGTGTCGCACCCGTCTTTCCGCCGCGGCGTATGGCTCCCTATTATGCTGCAGGTGGCGACCTGTAATAAAAAAAAATATTTATCGATTTGATCCTTATTGCAGTCACTTAAACTTAAGGATTATACCTTTCCAACTACCTCCACGTGATGCTCGTGATACAAATGATATTTGCTGTCACATTTACATACACTTTATGTTGTTGTAGTTCGCATATTTTCCACGGGACTCCTTAATTGAAACGGAGGGCTTACTCCCAAAATTTTTTTCCAATTCGATTCTGTTATCGATTCAAAATGACGTTGTTTCTAACCTGACCTTAAAAGTTTAGATCCGAACCAATTCAAATCGATAAACATGGTCGAGTTACGTACGATGAAGCGTTATAAGCACATATGGATATTTGATAAGTTGAAGATAATTTTTAATAAATTAAAAATTTAATTCTTAAATATGACAAACTAATCAAGAAAGAGCATTCTCGTCGCTTGTGATTCAATCACCATCTACCAGCGGACGGTTGAAGCTTTTCGTTCTGATAATTACAATTTGAACCACCATTCGATTGAGCGCTTAATATTACTACGAACTACGATTTCGGGGGTTCGAAATTTAAAATGAGTTCGAATAAAATTCTACCGATTCAGAAATCGTCTCTGACACGAGTAGGACTACTGACTCTAGTTTAAGCCTGAGACTAATTCTAAATTACTTTTTGTAATTAGACCGATTAAGCCACATCACATCCTCAGACTATAAATATAAGTAAGGTGTATACTGTATGTATATGTGTTACGGCATCCACTTTCCATCAGGTAGAGTGTTTGTACGTTTGTCACCCTTAACGTACGTCTTTAAAAATACTTTCATTTTTTCACCCGTTCATTACAGCCCTTCACAAGTTCACTGCTTACCATAGACCTCCCCCAAGGAATGCCACAAAGCACGGTCCTGAGCTACCTGCATTTATTCACTTCCTGCATGTCTTAACCAGTTCGTCACTCCTACTAATGGCCGCTCTACACACTTCGCCTAACGGTACTGGCTGCCACTCCAGAACCTTTCTTCTCCATAGGTTGTCGGTTTTTCGAGCTATATGGCCGGTCCACTGTCAGCGCAGCTTAAAAATATCTTTATAATACAGAGTAATTAAACACATATTTCAAATTAATTTTGAATTTAACACGTAATTATCGGCGAAATAATTACGGGAACACTAACATAAGCGAGGTAGAATTCCAACATAACATTTCCCCGAAAGCTATTTCTGACACTAGCTTGATTAATGATTGGGCAACAATTAATGAGGATATTGGTAAGTACCGTTTGAGCAAATGATGTGTACGATATACCAAAAAGTTATATTAAAACGAGACGTCCTAAACACTTACAAGTACGAATCATTAATTATGATATTTCAAGAGCTAGAATACTTTTATTACGTGGTAGAGCCATGCTGCAGCTATATTACCGGTATAGTTGTAGCACGAATGGGTCGGCTCGACCGGGAAAGGACCACGCTCTCACAGAATACCAGCGTAAAATAGCAGCTTAACGCTGCTGTGTTTCGTACGGTAAGTGTAGAGAACTTTTAACACCCTTTTTACTGGAAACGAGGCATTCCATCTTAGTCTTCATGGGTGACAACGAATCTGCATTTTAATTCTTTATGGAGGATAGATGTAGATGTCTATGGGCCACAGTAACCACTTACCATCAGGTGGACTGTGTGCTCGTTTGTCACCCTAATCCTATAAAAAAACTTCAACTATGGAGTTCATTAAAATCACATAACAAACTTTTAAATCCAATTGACCCCCCACTGGCGTGGCGGAGATAATAGTGTTCCTATCACCAGTGTGTAAAATTTGGATTTGCGTTTTTTTTTCGAATGATTTTTCCGTCATTTATCGACCAGAGCTTCAGCTTTCATAAGCGACAGTAGCCTAACTCGCGTGTAAGTGTGTTTGATTTGTCATGGACCACGCCCATTAAGCGTTTTTATCTCAATAGGATGATTACCGGATAAAGTTAGTAATAGCATTTCTAACATTAATTATAATTTAAAATTCATAATAAGATCATATTAAGATTTATGCGTCACTTAACCTTTTGGACGACGGCTTTTGGAAAAAAGTTGTCATATTTAATAGAAAGTCTGGCAAGGCATTTATAAAATAGGTTTTATAACAAATTTGCTGTCGCGCTGTGCCCTAACGCTCAAGTTAGACAACTGAGACAGCTGCAGCTTGGGCTGATTAGTACTATGAAAAATTGACGAATTCATTATTTCGGTATTTCCCTGTTTCCTTTAAAAATTGACGTTTTTTTAAACATTATAAGGATTAGGGCTATGTCTGTAACTTTTTCTTTTATTTTTTATTTTTTTCCTGAATGTCTGACTACGATAGTACCTATACCTGATCAACATTAAACATTTAAAAAGGTTTCTAGTTATTAAAATAATTAGTTTATGTAAGAAAAAACATTTTGACATGGCAGTGGTAGATAAGAGTATAGTCGTAAAAAAATTGCTCTAGTGTCGTTTATCTAGGAAAGAGGAATACGATTGTATAAACTATAAGCCGCTCGGTTAAATTAATTAATGTACCTATAAGTTTTATATATTAGAGATATCTACTTAAGATATGGATATAGAGTAGGAGTGAGAGAAAGAGATAGTTAATAAACACTTCGATATATATACAGATTATTTATATGTACTTGTTCAAAGTAATTTTTTAGGTGCAGAATATTATATTCGATTTCCTTGTTTCTTTTAGGAATCGAAATTCAAATGAAATTTCGATGAATCCTGACTTCACTGAAATTTTCCGACAACGCTGCCTCATCCATTTTATTACTGACGTCTTTTCAACTAACTTTGAGCAGGGTAGCTTGACTTTATAAAAGCCTTCTTGTGAAATATAATTAATCAACCGCAACAAAATCGGGTGAAGTTCTGAACGAAATGCGACACACAATGTGGGAAGTACGCGACTGAACTATAGCTGTATTGTGTACTTTGTTCTTTCTAATAACGACCGCGTGACCTTGTGGTTACAGCACTATGATTTTTTTATAGAAGAGGGGGCAAACGAGCATGCGGCTTATCTGATGGTAAGCGACTACCGCCGCTCATGAACAACTGCAACACCAGGGGAATTGCAGGTGCGTTACCGGCCTTTTAGAAAAGGAGTAAGCTCTTTACTTGAAGGTTCCTAAGTTGTATCGGTCCTGAAATATCGCCGGTGGTAAACAATTCCAGAGAGAAGTTGTACGAGGTAGAAAACACTGTGGTGGACCGTATATATAGTAGAAGGGTGACAAACAAGCATTAATCCACGTGAAGGTAAGTGGATGCTGTGGCCCATGACATCTACATCTACTCACAATTAAGGATTAAAATTATAGATGCGTTGTCACCCGTGAGGACTAAGATGGAATGCCTCGTTTCCAGTAAAAAGGGTCACTAGCTCTCTACACTTACCACATCATTATGATCTGTGACATTTACCATACGAAATAGCAGCATTAAGCTGGTATTCTGTGACCCTTTCGTACTACTATAATATAGCTGCAGCATGGCTTTAGCACTTATGTTCTTCCTGAATTGGAATTTTAGCCGGTATTCACATTTATGCACAAATACGTATATTGTTGGTTTCCAATTTATGTGTAATGATTGTTTTCGTATTTCTAATACATCGTATTTACACAGTTTTATTGCAAGTATTCATAGCACCTAATTACATTTGAATGTTTTCGCCATATTGGAATCAACCAGACAATCACCAATACCAGAATCATCATAAAAATTTTCTAATAAATAGTTTAAAAACACAAATATTACGTAATCAAGAACGCCCCACCGTGTAGTGGCGGTGTAAGAATATCTATTACCCCATATCGTCCCGTGGGTGTCGTAAGAGGCGACAGAGGAAAATTGAAACAGGTGATGGGCAGCAGCATCTCCTTGATACCAAATAAGTGCGGTTGGCAAACCCGCTCACCAAGTGTGTCAACTATAGCGAAATTCCCCTTAAGGGGCAATGTATGGGGGATGCCTATGTTCAGCAGTAGACTTTTATAAGCTGTAATGGATTAATGAATATAAAAACGGTTTTAACTTTTGATCAGCCAGATTTAGTTTGCACCGCTGTCTTTCCACTGTTCCGGATTTTAAAAAGATCAAATAGAGCACTACCTTTCCGCTTCGCGTTCCAGGTGTGCAATATTCTAAAAAAAAAATATAACAGCATTGCATTGTAAATGTTTTTTTTTTGACGATTTTAGAATATACGTTTTTAATAATTATTATTAGTAGGTACACGTTGCTCTGTGTATTGTCTACTAAACTATAAGTCGCAAGTCAGTACCGACCGGTACAAGCTAACCGTACTTATAATAGGTTTACGTACACCCAATGCCCTAAATCCGATAGCTTTGTAGTTTAGTTGTTAGATAATTATGCCCGGTTGTTTCCAGTTGCTCTTCTAATGTAGGAACAAAAGATTATGGATCCTCGGACTAAACTAAACTGTCCCTTATCTTAATGAAATTAAGGGACTTTACTTATAGTTTTTGTTTTACATAATATCTTGTGTTAGATTGTACGGTGAAAACAGTAGATTGAATAATTTAGCCTCTGCTATCAAAACTATGTCGAACTTCATTTGACGGCTTCGTTTTGTATTATAAACATATTATGCTTTAGATATAATAAGTACCTAATCGCTGACGCTTCTTTGAAATTTTTCACAAACAGAAGTACAATTTTTTTTGACAACCACACAATAACCAAATCAAACAACCATTTATTATGGCTTTTAGTTTTCTTTTTATATAAAAGATGCTAATGAAATATCGAGTTCCAATAAAGTTACTTCAAAATAATATTTTCCTAAGTGATTCGTGTAAATTTAATTTTGTTAACCGGTAAAACTTTTAGAGTTAACACATGAATCTTATTTAAGGATAATTTTCCATTATATAAAAGTTATTAATAATTCTACAAACAGCATGCCTATGTCCCAAACAAAAAACATGTAATAGCCAACGG